ATGTTTATTTCGGTAAGTTCCTGTTACAATCTCAGTATCTATCATATATGTTTGCAAGCCATGACAAATAAGTTTCATTCCATTGCAAAGACTATTGTCTGGATCTAGGTTTCTAAGTAACATAACAGGAGCACCAACTTTTAAAATAAGCTCATGTAGAGGAAGTTCTTGAGGCATCAACGAATTGAGATATTCAATTGGGTAGAGGTTCAGATTATCATCGGGTAATGTGTTAAAACTATAGTAAGTACATTGTTCTCCAAGAAAATTCTCTACAATTTGTTTATTAATTCTATCAATATCACAATTTAGTAGTGTCAATATTGCTCTTTCTGTGATGAATTTAATATCAATAGCATTTTCGGTTAAGTTAGGGTAGACTGCTTCTAGCAACGTACTAATATTGTCTTTATCATCTCGCGAGTTAATAATTATCTTATCAGGAAGCCTAATAAGGTCATTCTCGATCGTGGGTTTAGTACCGTTACCTATTCTAATTAAATACTCTGCGAATGCTGTTGCCTCTTGGCTAGTTGCTTGTGCAATGTGCATATTATCAGTTAATATAAATCTAAGAACGTGTTTCCATAGGTATAACTTATTAAAGGCTGCTTTAACTATCTGAGCTCTGGAACCTTTGCGTACTATGGGCAAAACCTGTCTGAAATCTCTACCAAATAAAACTATTTTACTACAAATGAAAGATTATTTTTCATTAAATCTCTTAATGTCCTGTCGACTGCCTTGGAAGCATTACGATTTGTTATTGGAACCTCATCCCAAATTATAAGTACAGTTTTTTGAAGTAGTTTACACGATTCACTTCCTTTATCAATATTGCAAGTCATATTACAGTTAATTCCAGCAATTGGTATCTTAAAGTAAGAGTATACAGTGCGACCACTATACAAAAGTAATGCTGCAATACCCGAAGATGCTACAGCTAATACGATTTTTTGCCTAGCTCTTACATAACTTAAAAGGCATTCATAGAAATAGGTTTTACCGGTTCCAGCTAGACCATCAACGAATAATACTCTACCTTCACCTTTTTGTATAAGATTCATTACCTCATTGAATATCGCATGCTGTGCTTCATTTAATTATTTGCTTTATCTAGATTCTCAGAAGTGATTTGGAAGTTTAATTCGTCGAGTTGCATTCTAGACAATTCTCTGGTATTAAATTCTGGTAGTAATTCTGATAAATCAAAATTACTAACACTTTTTGAGTGTCTTTGCAATACTGCATTTAGACTTTGAAGAACAGCTTGAACTTTTATTTGACTATCTGGAACTTCTCTGTATATAAAATCTTCAGCTATCACCTCAAAATTTTTATTCCATAGGTGAGATATATTGGTGACATTTCCGAAAATTAGTAAATTTGCAAACAGACTGCGTAATTCGCTAGGTATCTGAAATTCTCTAGCTTCAGCCATACATTGCCAATGTTCACTATCGTCTTCAAGAAAACCTCTACGTAGCGCACTTTCTTTAAATGTGAAACACATAATGCCATTCACTGTTTTAAGCTTGTCAAAACTTGTAGCCCTTTTATCTTTATTAACAAAAGATGTAGATAATACCTTTCACCTAATTAGTATGCATAAGTAGTACTATTATTTAGTATAGCATTTTTAATTATCAAGTTGAATTGTCCAAATTGCCATGTTATGTATTAACAAACGATAAGTGATTTTTTTTCTGATCCAACTTTAACCTTCATTTGCTGTTATCGTAATAACATACTCATCTTCTCTAGAATGAGCCATGTTTATCCTTCCAATACAACTACCACGTTTACACTTCTTCCAAGCTTTAGTTGATTTGTTCCAGGTATAATACAAAGAAAAATCTGTATAGAATATATCTGTTGCATCGGGATCTTGTATATTCATCTTAAAGTATTCTGTAAGAGTCGTTAATTAATTTTATTCTGATTCAATTTCTTTCACCAGATTGTTGTTGTCATCAAAATAAAGACCTTGCTGATTGGGTAGATGCACTTGTAAATGTGTAACAGCAGGGTTCATACTATTCATTTTGAATTCTAGAATTCTCTAGGCAGCTTCAGGTACCAAAACTCAACATGCTTCAACAAAATCCCGAACTTCATCAACAGTAACTTGTCTATCACATATATCGCAAATTTGATCTTTGGTAATATCTATTATTGCTTTATTGTGCCTTTTGTACACATATTTGAATAAATATTTAACTGCCTTAATACTAGCACAAATTTCCACATTTATATAGCAGTTATACTTGGCACACAAGAAAGTATTATATGGAATGATATATCAATTATCAATTTGCACTGTTCTATTTCTTACTTTAACATTGACTTGGCGATAATCTTAATGGCGATGGTATATTGAATACGAATTCGTTTCCTGAAGTGTTTCACTTTAAATAGTTTAGAAAATTCCTTGCTACAACATTTATTTCCCTTTTCAACATCAATCATACAAGGTGCATTATAATTATTTTCATTGCATGGTCCATGCACTATATTGGAAATAACTGTTGAATAAGTTATAGGATTAAGGTCCTGGTTTGGTATTTCAGCACAAACAATTGCATTATAATCCTCTAAAGTGCGTAGTTTATCATCTGGATAGAGTATGAGTAAAATATATGCATGAAGAAGCCCATACTTTTGAAATTTAATAATGTAGACGTGTCTAATAATACGCCTGAAGATTCCATATTCAAAAAGATTCTTCTTTAACTTCTGAAATTTTTCTCAAAAAACACGTACTATAAAATTAAAAATAATTAAATTTCAAATTACGACAATATAAGTAGCTTTTTTGGTCTATACTATTAAAAATT